CAGGGCTGTCCAAACTCGGTCCTGGAGGGCCGGTGTCCTGCAGAGTTTAGCTCCAACCCCAATTAAACACACCTGAACCAGCTAATCAAGCTCTTACTAGGCATAGGAACTTCCAGTCAGGTGTGTTGAGGCAAGTTGGAGCTAAACTCTGCAGGACACCGGCCCTCCAGGACCGAGTTTGGACAGCCCTGCTTTAAAGGTTCAAAAGCAATTTAAAGCAATCATATGATGTTGCTAAAAATAACATTATTTTGTGTATTTGGTGTAATGAAATGTGTTTATGCGGTTTAAGGTTAAAAAAACACATTATTTTCCACATACTGTACATAATTGTTTCTCCTCTATGCCCCACCTTTCTGAAACGCGTCGATTTTTACAAAGCTCATCAGTCTGAAAAGCGAGGTGTGCTCTGATTGGCCAGCTATCCAGTGCGTTATGATTGGCCCGAATACCTCAAGCGTGTGATGGAAATGTTACGCCTCTTACCATATTGTTGATGATTCCCTGTCCGGCCGGAGCGACGAGACAAAAACATTAAAGCGCATTACAAACGAGGCATTCGTTGCATCCAGTGGGGACATAATTATGGATTATAATGACTTGTACTGTCTTTTTACGCGTTGCATCGCGCTGTGTACAACTTTTAATGATGACTTCAGATGTTAAAGGTTCTTTATGGAACCATTTAGACAAAAAAGGTTCTTCTATGGCATCGTGAAGCACCTTTATTTTTAAGAGTGTAGAATAGAAACAGAATAGAGAGTGCTAGTGTTAGAGGGTCAGGTTTTTATAATAAATAAAAAGAAAACAAGTAGATAAATAGTTTGAGCTTCTTCTCATTTGTGCTGGAATTAAGCATTTGCTAAATGATTAGATGTAACCTGATTTATAATAAATTCGAAAAGTTTAAACGTTTAGGTCGGTCACTTCACTTTTTGGGGGAAAAGCAATAAATTAGTAAAAAATTAAATTGCGTAACCTACAAGCTGGTAAATGCCCGTTAGGGGACTTTTATTTTCACGTTCTGGGAACCGGAAGTGAAACGCTTTTGTTGTGCATCTCGTCATCGCATCGCTGGTGTACAGTGTGTTGGCGGGTGTGTATAAAGTATTGGAATTTGTTCATTATGTTTGCACAGAAACCTTTCAGCTTTATTAAATATGACAAGCGGAATATTCTGTTGATATGATGAGTTATAATGGAGGTAACGTTCCTGTCCCAGACAACACTAACGTTACTGCTTCACTGTAGAAAACTGCTGTCGCTTACCCTTAAAATAAAGCGAGATATCGAAAAATATATATACCAAAACAAATAATTAGAATATAAACTAAAACAAATGTGACCCTGGAGCACAAAACCAGTCATAAGTAGCACGGGTATATTTGTAGCAATAGCCAACAATACATTGTATGGGTCAAGGTTATATTTTTTTCTTTTATGCCAAAAATCATTAGGATATTAAGTAAAGATCATGTTCTATGAAGATATTTTGTAAATTCCCTACTGTAAATATATCAAAACTTTATTTTTGATTAGTAATATGCATTGCTAAGAACTTTATTTGAACAACTTTAAAGGCGATTTTCTCAGTTTTTTTTTTTTCAAAAATATTCCAGATTTTCAAATAGTTGTATCTCAGCCAAATATTGTCCTGTCCTAACAAACCATACATCAATGGGAAGCTTATTTATTCATCTTTCAGATGATGTATACATCTCAATTTCTAAAAATCGAGCCTTATGACTGGTTTTGTGGTCCAGGGTCACAGATAGTTTCCCACTGGGGATGGGCATAATAATGATCAGAATGAAAAGAATAGGAGTATTAAGATGCAAGTGTTCACTGTACATCTGTATCATTATTTGTTCTGAGGTATGGATGATATTTATCCCGACAGGTGTGAATATGACAATGTGAGATGGATCAATCTCGGAAACGGAGATTAAATAATAGGAAAACTGGGCTTTCTCAGTGTAAAGTGGCGAGAGCTGAAGAGCCGGAGGACGTTTCTGAGAGCAGAGATGTTACAGACGCTACAGGATCACACAGACACTTCAGTACCATCAGAGCCTCCAGCCCTCAGTCTGACTGTAAGACATCTTTAAAACATAGTGAGCTGCCTAACCTGGACAGTTAACACGTTTTTATATTTTCATATATGAGTGTACTAGTACTAACTTAAAAGACAGTGGTGACATTACCACATTTACTGTAGTAATACTATGCTATTCCAGTATCTTGGACCATGTTGTTAATGAGAAACATTTGTGTGACTGCTATCAGGTCAAGAACAGCATGCTGCATGCATCCAGAAGCCTGAAGATGACGCTGAGAAGACCTTGATCATCACATGCAGTGAGTTCTCAAAGGACTCTCCTCATTAGTGATTTATTCACAGATACATGGACCAGAGGTGTATTTCTCAAAAGCATCATGAGCCTGAGTTAAAAAAAAATAGAGACCAGGGATGGCAAGCACAGCCTAGGTGGATTCATTGGGCAATATTTGGCTTTTTTTATTTTTTATTAAGTATTTAAATATTTTTTGCCAGTTTATCATTTTTTCATTATTTAGAATAAAAACAGTGTTGAAATTAAAATAGCACAACTGGCAGAGTAGAGATTCACAAATTTTCTGTCAACTGAACCCTTAAGATGTAAAATATTGACTTTGTTTTACTTACATTACAATGTAAATGTATTACTATTAGTATTAGTATATATTACTATATTGTAGCTCTGGGAATTAATATTTATATAATCGATCAAAACATTTGCATGTTCATGTTTCTCTGATGCTGGGTAATGGTTCCATTGGTGTTTTAGGAACGTGACACAATTTTATATAATGATATTAGGCCTAATAATAAGAAAAACACTTTGTAAAGTTAAAATATTAATATTAATATTTTAAATGGTTCACAATTTTCCAAACTTTTATGCTTTTAATTTTCTAAAGCCTCAAGTTTTTATATTTTGGAGTACTGGTGAAATCCTGCAAACATCCGTTCACAAAAATGTTGGAAATTACGCAAATGCGAAAATAAATGAATGCGTAACTGTTGCACTTTGTGTTCCCAAATGTATTAAAACAGTCTGAAATGTGTAGAATAATCATCATCCATGTTGCTCTCTTTCAGACAAGGAACAGGGTGGAACCCGAACGGCTGGCAGAAGGAAGGGTTTGAGGAGGAAAAGAGACGCGGTCAGTGAAGTAGAAGCTCAGCAGAAGGAAGCCGAAGATGAAATCCAGCCAGAGGTGGAGATTGACCGAGAGCTGGACAGAGAACTGGAAAATAAATCTCGACAACATAACTTGACCTCTGCGAACGTTCGTAGCATCATTCATGTGAGTGTGGACTGCTTCCTCAAGCCCTGTGCAGATATTATTGCCCTGTTTCCTCAAGACGCTAGTTACCAACCTTACCTCAGGCATATGAAGCCTTTTGTGATCATCCCTTTGACTTTGCATTCAGCAAGTAGCTCAGCATTTTTACTGTCCATTTGCAGGAAGTGATCACCAATGAGCATGTTGTGGCCATGATGAAAGCTGCTATCAGTGAAACTGAACCCATTCCTGTATTTGTGAGTATAAATGTCCTGCAATCATCTGCTCTGCTGGAAAGTGGTTGACAGCTGGTTAACCCTGTATCATGATCAAGATGTATCATATTTCATATGCAAACCTCTAAGGCCTCTTAATTAAGAGCATGATTAAAACTACACATTTCTCTCTCTGTCTCTCAGGAACCCAAGATGACCCGCTCTAAACTAAAGGAGGTTGTGGAGAAAGGAGTTGTAAGTTGCTTTTATTGCATAGGAGGCTGTAAAGTAACATATATTATACTGCTACATATTTACAGTTATCTATTTTAATTCTGCAGCATTTATATTAGTTGCATAATTTAATAGCTACTTGACATTTCAGGTTGTTAACATGCTTTAATTGTCCTCCCTGGACATTAATAAACACAATGAGGTGTTTTTGTTTGTTTCTGTAGGTCATTCCCGCTTGGAACATTTCACCAATTAAGAAGTCCACAGAGGTGAAGGTAATCAGCAGAGTACCAGCAATAAAACATGTAGAAGAACAGGAGCAGACTTTTGTATATAGAATATTATATTAAATGGATTATGAATTTACTGAAGGGTCCCCAGTTTGTGGATATTCCTTTAGAAGAGGAAGACTCCTCTGATGAAGAGTATCAGCCTGATGAAGAGGAGGAGTATGAGACAGCTGAGGAGGTTGGAGAGAATGATTTCCGTATGATTTGATACTGTTTTGTCCTCAGTGAGTTTGTCGAGACTGTTTGTGTGTGTGATTGGTAGACTCTTCTGGAAAGTGACTTTGAGAACTCGTCATCGTCTCCACGGTGCAGTCGAGTGAACCTCCACAGATCACACTCTGAACATGAGGAGGATGGAGCCAGCAGCTCTAGACCGGTAAGACATCTGTACATGGACATGCTATAGCTAAAAAGTAATACAGTTTTTCAGCTTTTTGTTTATTTTCATTACCATTGCACTACACAACCATTCAAAAGTTTAGGGTCAGTTAGATTTTTTTATGTTTTGCAATTTAAAACAACTATTTATATATATATATATATATATATAAAAAATTGTACTTCCCTTTCTAAAATATTTTAGAAAGGTAATTCACGTGAAAAATTTAAGGGGGTCTAAATACTTTCCGTACCCACTGTATATATATATATATATATATATATATATATATATATTAAAATGCAATTTATTCCTGTTATGCAAAGCTGAATTTTCAGCATCATTGTTTCAGTCTCACATGATCCTTCAGAAATCATTCTAATATGTTAATTTGTTGCTCAAGGGAGGAACATTTCTTATTATTACCAATGTTAAAAACAATTGTGCTGCTTCAGATTGTTGTAAAAAGATTCCAAGATTCTTTGATGAATAAAATTTATTGAAATTTTGATATCATTAGAAATGTCTTTACTGTCACTTTTTGATCAATTTAATGCACCCCTGCTGAATAAACATTACTTTCTTTCTATCCTCCGATGGGTTCTTGCCCTGAAATACCTTTATGACCTCAGTTCTTTCCAATTAAAGAAACCATCATCTCAACCAAACAGCAATTATTGCCAAAAAGATTAAAAATGTTTCATGCCAGAAGCAGAATACAACATAGTTTAAATCAGAGATGATATTAAAATATCTTTTAAACTCTCAAAAACAAGCACAAATCAATTACTATGCACAAAAACATGTTTTTTACCCATTTCTACAGAACCTTCGCAGGCACCTGACAGTGGCTGTCACCCCAATGGGACCCCCAACACCACCACCGGCCCCCTCCAGGGCCCCACCGGACTGCAGCTTTTTAGAGAAACTCCATGCGGTGGATGAGGAGCTGGCCATCGGCCCTGAATGCATGGAGTCATATCAGGTGCATCTCACTTCACTCCTGCTGTTTATATAATTAACAAGTCATTTGTGTTTTTGGTGGGGTTGTTGGCCAAACCAGAAACAGTAATACTATTACCATTTGAAATAGATATTTTCTTGTAGAATATATTTTTAAATTTATTCTTGTGATGTAAAGCTGAATTTTCAGCATCATTACTCCAGTGTCTTATAAGTGTCTTATGATCCTTCAGAAATCATTCTACTATGCTGTATAATAAACATTATTATAAATGTTGAAAAGCATTGTGTTGCTTAATGTTTTTGTGAAAACTATAAAAAAAAATTTTATGTTCTGTATTGTCAAAAGTTAATGGATCATGTTTGTAGTTAATGTGATTTTTCTGCACCTGTTGTTACTCAGCTAATTGTAATGTTTCTTCAAACTGAATCTCTCTTTGGCATTAGAGTGTCAGTAGTGCTAATGGAGAGGAGAGCCTGATTTCATTTCGCACAAGATCCAAGCGCCCGCTGAGGAACGTCCCTCTGGGGCGCCTGGAGGCGGAGCTACGTGCTCCTGACATCACTCCAGACATGTATGGCTCCGCCCCTGAGGACAGAGAATGGACGCAGTGGCTGCAGGGCCTCATGAGTTCAGATATGGAGAATGAAGGTCCAGACAGGCTGAAATACTTACCATGTATGTGCTTCCTCATATGTGTTTCTCAAAAACTCTCTTATTCTCTTGCCAGAGGAGGGTGATGATGAAGATGACCCTGAGTACAATTTTCTGGCTGATATTGATGAGCCTGATGTGGAGGACTATAGGAATGACAAGGCAGTGCGCATCACCAGTGAGTTCATTTGAGAGAAATGATTGGCATATCATCTGTGCTGTTTTTTAGATATTAATTACCTTCTTTCCTTTGTTACTCAGAAAAGGAAGTCAATGATTTGATGGAGGAGCTATTTGACACAGTAAGGATTTCATTTTATATCTTATATTCTTGCACGTCCCTAATAAAAGGATTGTTTTTCAAATTGCCTGATCAGTTGGGCCCTTTGATTTCCATGATGTGGAAAACTTGGATGGAATTGCAGAATACAGTAATCTGTGAATATTAAAGTGCAAAAAGTCTGCTATTGAAATATGAAGTCTGCATGTTCTGCACATCTCTGTGAATGAATGGTGTGGTTTTGTCGTATTCACGCATACTGCATAGTGCGGCCTCACTAGATAAGGACATGAACACATAAACTTCATCTCCAGAGCTGCTTTATGAACATCTCACCATTTCATTTGATAAAACTATCATCAGATACACAGAAACTCATTAGAGCCCAACAAAATAAAAGTTTGGTTTAACTTGAAGAACAGAAATCTCTGTGCAGCCGAAAAATTAAAGCAATTCAATTTGATGACATTTTAAAATGTAATTAATTGTAATTTAAAATGTAAACAAAATTAGTACATTCATTTGATTGCCACCATTTTTTGATAATAAAGTTGTATTAAATCATATAACAGAACAGACAACACAGAATTAAAAAAAACACAAAACACAATTCATAGAGCATTATTATTTTTACAATTTGAATAAATTATTAAAATGCTTTATGAATTCAACTGATCAGACACCCCAAAGTCCCTCCTTCCGACAAGCTCAGTCTGCTCTGATTGGCCAGCTGACCCAGTGCATTGTGATTGGCCGAACACCGCAAGCACTCATCGGAAATGTAACGCTTGTGAGCTTCATCTTTCAAAATAAATGTAAAGACAGAGCCTGAAAGGGGAACAGAGTCTCGTGACAGACACAGTGATGAAGCTGGTATGTGTTTGCAGTACACAAGCCACGGTTAAGACAGCTGACTCCACTTTGATGTGACCCCATCTCTCTCTCGCTCTCTGTCACACACACGCGCGCACGCACGCGCGCACACGATGCGCAAAACTCTGCATTTGAACAGTCAATAGCAAATACTTAAACTAATAACAAAACAGTAGCTGATTCAGAAGCGCCAGATTGTCATAGCAAAGTCAGAATTACCTCCTCTCCTAGGTTCACGAAATGGTCGTCCATAAAATGCATTGCTGTTCTGTTGTTAGTCATCTTAAAGATTCCTAAATGCATCTACTTTCGGAAGGCCAAATAAAGTGCTTTTGCTTTCGCCTAGAAACACACAGCGTCTCTCTGACATGCTGCTTCAACACTAACTGCGGTTACTGAAACCACGCCTTCTTTCTTTGCGTGCACATTTGGGCGGCATTATGCAAATATTTCCACATAGTGAGGTAGATATGTGGGGGCGTGTTAGAACGAGCCCTTTTAGGGGGGCGTGGCAGAGTCTTAACTTTGATAAAGAATATCTCTTTGGTTTTGAGACTTTAGTCTTTGCAACTTCAGGGATCTTATCTATGCACAATCAGCTTGTAACACTCCAAAGAGAAAGGTAAACTTGAAATCGCATCATATGACCCCTTTAAATTGTACAAGAACTTAATTATGATTTCAGAAGGTCTTAAATTTGGGGACTGAAAGACCAGAATTGCGATATGGCTTAATGTGATGATTAAACTTCAAAAGGCTATGATTTTATTAAATAAACACAAGTGCTGGGCGTTTCAGAGTCCGGTGCTGCCCTGCTTTGTGTTCTGCTGTTACCGGGGAAACAGTTATATTTCTGCCATTCCGAAAGCGCATCCTGCTGGCAGAGAATGAATTTGCATTTTCAATAAGCCTGTTTTCAGGACTGCATTTCTGGGAACCTACAGGTTTTTTCTTTTATTATTATTATTTTTTTTTATGTATATATTAGCAGCTCATACTATTCTATAGCACTTGCTATTCAATTCTGTATATTATTATTTTTAAGGGATTATGTAGTCGTTTAATTGTATTAGGGTGGTGACGGTGAGGACATTTTCCCACCGGTTAATCGACGTGTGACAACACCGGTAATACCTGTATCACTGTGGGGGCGGGGGCGGGGGCGTTTGTTTATTAACAAAACAAATAAAAATACACCATGCTACAGGGCAGGCTATGCCTAATATAAAATAACAAATAACTTACATAAAGTTTAAATAGGTATACAAAACTGGAAATAGGCTAAGTAAACATGTATAATATATAACCAAATAAATAAGAAACGTAGAAATGTTTATTAGCAAAACAAGTAAGAAAGCTTGAAGGCATGGCATACACCTTGACGTCAAATAAAATAAAATAAATGACACAAAGTTTAAATAAAGTAAAAATCAGCAAACAATGTGGAACCAATTAAATTAGAAACAAATGTTTAAAAAAACTTCCAAAATCACCTTAGATAAACGGCAAAAGTCAACAGGTTTTTCAAAATCCAAAATATTGCCAAACAGGCGTTTTTGCATTTCGTTTCGAAACTAAATAATCCGCGATCGTCTTGTCTGTCTCACCCCACTCTTCTTGTCCATCAGCTCGACTCACTCTCCTCACTGGAGAAATAAAGTCTGATCTGTGATGCAACTGTCGTTCGGCGCTACATTGAGCAGCCGCGTTCAGTTTTTAATTGTAGTGTCTGTTCTTTTACTGAACTAAATAATTTTTATTACTATAAAAAAATCAAAATGACGGTGGGGGTTGGTGGGCAAGTGACATAACCGGTGTTGCTGCTTAACACCGGTATCACCTTCAACACCGTCTATCACGGCAAGCCTAAATTGTATACACTTAATCATTGTCCTAACCAACTCCTAACCCTAAACATAGCCGTTGGTAACCCTCTTAAAATAGTTAACCTAATTTATTTCAATATATTCTCTCTCTCTATATATATATTTAGGCTCTCTCTCTCTGTATATATATATATATATAGTTTTTAGGTTTTAAATTTTTGTTTTTCTGTTTTCTTAGAGAGAAAGACTTGTCTTTGCGAGACTTGTTCATTAGCAGCAGCACTTCACGTCTGAAGTCTGACCCACTTAAGTGCAGTAAATGGTAAAACAATTGTGGTACAAATTAGTGTGTTTATTAGTACATTAATAAATGTAAAATAATTTGAATACAAAAAATAGTTTACAACATCCAGCAGCACAGTGAACTGTTTTGCACAGCTAAATAGGCTAAAAAGAGATTGCTGACATCACCTCACACACTCAAGTTCATGCCGGCTCTTACATAAAAAATAAGATGGAAAGATAAAAAATGAATAGTTTCCATGGATCTAGTCTTTGCATCTGTTTGTTTGATGTTTGAATCAGGTCTCCTCTGTTGGAATAAAATTGGCTAGATAGTGCTGTTTTAGTAGAAACGGTCCTGAAACGGCAGCCTCCAGTATTGCAGGAACACAGTATTGGGGTTGGTTTTGTTCAGACCAATGTGAAAATCGACCCATGTTTTTACCCTGCAAACACACAGAGCTGTAAATGTGAACTGGTGGATCGATAAGAAGAATAATCATTCTTTTTACAGCCATTTTACAGTTTAATAGTTTACCATAGACATTGCCCTACCCCGTTCATATGGTATTAATTTTATTTGTGCAGGTCTTAAAAAAGGTCTTAAATTTGAGCTTAAAAGTCTTGCAGAAACCCTGTTTACATATTTCCTTCACTGTCTAAAAGCCAAATTTGATCAGTGTAAGTTATACTACAGATCAAAATCTTTTGCTTTGTGCTTAATGTCTGATTGTAGTAGTGATTGAGAAACAAAAATGCACTAGAGCTGCATTACACTACAAAATCTGAACAGATTTTAAAACGCTACACATCATACACTTTCCGTCTTTGTAAACAGCCACAAAGGAAAACTGGGCATCATACACTACCAGACTTTAACGTTGTTCAGATCACAATAAACTCAAGCAGAAACGTGCGCCTTGTTGCAATATGCGTTCTGTGCATTCCAGCCTTAAAGTTAAAAATATATTTTTTTGTCAATTGTAAATGTAAACTTTCTAGAGTTAATCTTTTTACTCTCTGTTTGCATGCTTTTTTGGGTAGGATGTCAGTTTCCTGCTTCTTTGGCCTGGCTTATGGCGACTCGACCGGTGTTTCTCTACCCAGAGCTACTTCCTACAATCCAACTGCGTCCTTCTAGATTCAAAGGGCCGTTTACTCCAGCTGAAGATTGGTACTTGAGTCATGCATCAGCCTGAATCGTCGCCTGAAATATTCTTATAAAAGATACTAAAACCACACTGTTGACTGATGTTATTTCTCTTTCTCTGTCTCCTCAGTCTTGTTGTTCTAGGTCATAAGCACTTAAGAAGTACCCTAAACCCACTGCAGATGACTTGTCGCGTTCTGCTTGCTACTAGGAGCTTTATCAGTTTAAATTCACACATCCGTGATGCGTGTCATAAGCCCTTTCCCAATGTCATCAAGGTGTGTGAACGAACACAGTGTATCGTGTGGATTCCTACTGAAATGACTGGATTTCACACGTGAAAATTCACTGAACAGCGGTAAATGGGATGTTTTTTTCCCCATATTTTTTAGACATACTTTGTGACTGGAAAATGCCCACCCATGCCCTTGGCCTGTAAGAGGGTCAGTCCTTCTGACCATCGCCCCCCGGTGGAGAGAGAAAAGAGCCTCATGCCTAATTGGCTCTCGGTAATAACTGCTTATAATCTTGCTCTGTTTTTGTAATTTCAGTCCTTCTGTTCTTCATTCATTGCTCCTAAATGGTAAATATCTGATTTATGTGTGTAATGTTCAACCTTTCTCTTCTGTAGAAAAACCTGAAGCGCATTTATGAGCTTGTAAGAATGTTTAACCAACCATCTGGAAACTCCCAGACTGCCAATCCAGCAGAAGAAGCCACTGAGTCTCCAGGTCCAGGAGCAAACTGTAGCCTCTCTCCAGGCATGCGTTACCCTCCCAGCCTTCCTGAGGACCTTGCTCAGACACTTGAATCTTCACCTGGCTCCTGCAAAAAGAAAAACGACAAGACTGCTAAATCCACCAAGCCTTTAAAACCTCCCCCGTCAGCTGAGGAACTAGAAGTGTTTCTGAACCAGTTACCAACCCTTTTACCAAAAACGATCACAGTTCCGTGTCCATCACTTTCAAACCCTTCTCATCTCGCACCGGTTCTTAGGTCATGTGTGTCTGGAAACAGAGCTATGAATGGGCCTTTCATAGTATCTAACGTGTCAAACGTGCCTCCGATGGGACAAAACCCAGGTGGAGCAGTCATCACTTTACCTCCTGCTCCATTCACACCCGAACTGAGCTCTTCAAGGACTGTTCCTGTGAAAAATGCTGTAGGAACACCAATGGGCGTCTCTGGTTCTCCACAGAGAGCTCAAGTTGGTGCAACCCAGGGGGACGTAATCATCACTTTACCTGCTGCTTTGCCACCAGAGCATATAGCTGTGAATCAAACTGCACAAATAGTCACCTCTAACATTGAACCAAGAGGGTCAAACCTTATAATTACTCTTCAACCACCTCTGCTTCCCAACACTTTAAAATGTCCCACCACCATCATAAAGACATCCAGCACCCCACTGGCTAAAGATCGCGTTAGTCAGCGTTGTGGCACTCTGCTTAAAGTTATACAGAGGGACTCTGTTCTAGCTCAAGTACATCAAAAACCTCTAAATCGGTTTCTTCTCCTTCCTCCAGGCTACGTACTTGCAAGCAGCAGCCTTGGCCATCAGATAGCTGGACAAGATCAAACCTTGAAACACTCTTCAGCTCTGAATAGCAAAGAGATGAAACTCGGGAAGCAACAGAGAACTCCTGACACTTTCCAAAGTACTGATGGGCCACAAGGAGGTCCACCAAAGATGACATCCGTTCTTGATGCTCCTACTGAGTGCTTACAAGAAACCACAGCAGCAGAGGAAGAGCTGAATAGTGATGATGGAGGATTGATTGAGAATGAGTTGGAAGAGTGTGGTGAGAAGGACACCAGAGAGCTGTTTCTCACACTTTCTGAATCCTCCGGGAGCCCGACGGCCAGCATTGAGGAGGAAGACACTGACATGGAGATGGTTTTGGGCAGGAGAGAGAAACTAGAGAAGCAGAACACAACAGAAAGGGAAGGCAGCAATAGGCTGATGGGGGAGGAGGAGGAAACAGGTGGAGATGTTTCAGATGTCCTGTTTGTGCCAGAGCTTCAGGTCAGATCCTTTTTTATACTCTTTGAGATATTTATACTGAATACTAATTTTCATTTTTTTTCTTTTACTGTAAGTAAAAACTCTCATGCTGTTATACAAAAATAATTGTATTTGATATTATTATTAAATAAATTATTATTCTATAAAATATATAAATTAAAGTTTTATATACAGATGCATTTTTATTTTTAAATCATTTTGATTATTCTTTTTTTTTTTTACATATTTTATATTATTTGTTATAAGTTTTTAAGTATTTAAGCATCCTGTCTGTTGGGAATTACAAAATAATTGTATAATGTCTACATAATAATGTTATAACAAGAAGAATTTGTCATGAAAGTATATGTTGCAATGCAAAAACGTAAAAAGAAATTCAAAATAGGCTTCTATGCAATATATATATGTAACCCTGGAGCACAAAAGCAGTCATAAGTTGCACGGGTATATTTGTAGCAATAGCCAACAATACATTGTATGGGTCAAAATTATAGATTTTTCTTTTATGCCAAAAATCATTAGGATATTAAGTAAAGATCATGTTCCATGAAGATATTTTGTAAATTTCCTACTGTAAATATATTAAAGGGGTCATATGATGTTGCTAAAAAGAACATTATTTTGCGTATTTGGTGTAATGAAATGTGTTTATGTGGTTTAAAGTTAAAAAAACACATTATTTTCCACATACTGTACATTATTGTTTCTCCTCTATGCCCCGCCTTTCTGAAACGCGTCGATTTTTACAAAGCTCATCGGTCTGAAAAAGAGAGGTGTGCTCTGATTGGCCAGCTATCCAGTGCGTTGTGATTGGCCGAATTCCTCAAGCGTGTGACGGAAATGTTACGTCCCTCACCATATTGTGATGCCTGCGGCAACCACATGTGACGACTCCGGGCTGGACTCCGCTTCATCTACGGTGAAAGCCGATCCGTCGATCGACAGCGCGAAGTTGAAGTATTCCCTCAGCAACCAGCACGGATCAGCTCTAGGCATGACGAAGCGGATATCGTCCTCTTTTGGAAGACCAAACAAAGTAGTTTTGCTTTCACAACAAAAAACACAGCGCCTTCACGAAATGGCGGCGGCAACAAAACTACAGCGAGAATAAAAGTTATGCCTTCTTTCTTTGCGTGAACATTTGGGCAGCATTATGCAAATCTTCCCACATAGTGATGTAGATATGTGGGGGCGTGTTAGAACGAGCTGTTTTAGGTAGGTGTGGTTGACTCTTAACTTTTATAAAGAATATCTCTTTGGATTTGAGACTTTAGTCTTTGCAACTTTACAGATCTTCTTTATGCACCAAGAGCTTGTAACACTCCAAAGAGAAAGAAACAATTGAAATCGCATCATATGACCCCTTTAAAACTTAATTTTTGATTAGTAGCATGCATTGCTAAGAACTTCATTTGGACAACTTTAAAGGCGTTTTTCTCGATCGATATTTAGATTTTTTTTTTGCACCCTTAGATTACAGATTGTCAAATACTTGTATATCGGCCAAATATTGTCCTATCCTAACAAATCATACATCAATGGAAAGCTTTATTTATTCAGCTTTCAGATGATGTATAAATCTCAATTTTGAAAAATGTACCCTTATGACTGATTGATATGATTCACCCAATAATAGCAGTTCCTGTTCATGCGTTTTATATTTATGAGATGTTTGATTAACCTTGTCATTGTAAACACCAGAAAACCATTGAGAAATTCTCACATCTGGCCACAAAGACGAGATCTGAAAAGGAAGGAAGTTCAGATGATGGAAAATCAAGCCATCAACCTGCAAGTGAGTTTAAGTCAATATGTCGGAGTCTAAAAAACAATTTTATTGTGAATTCAGTTAATTCTATAGCTGCAACATTAGTTGTAATAGTTAAGCAGACACATTTATAGAAATGTTTATTAGTGAGCCATGTCCTTCTAAATCGAAACTGAGTAAATGTGGCGCTCACAGGTTCTGTGGAGAGCTCTTTGGTCATTTACGATGATGCATCTGATGACGATCCTTACAGAGACGCTAAAGATGTTGCCTTTGCCCAGGCTTACCTAGAGAAGGCAAGAAATACTTAAATGCACACAAATATTAATGTTAATTTTTATGTTGTGACAGGTCCATTTTATATCCGTCTAATATTCTGTCTTTCCTCCAGGTGTATGAGGTGCTGCAGATGGTGCCTGGGAAAGTGGACGAGTTCCTGCGTGTTCTGTCTGAGTTTGAGAAGGATCCAGAAAGTCGCACATCACTAGAGCTGCTGACGAGACTCAAGCCTGTGCTGAGCGACTGGCCTGAGCTGCTTCGGGATTTCGCTGCCTTCCTGCATCCAGATCAAGCCAGAGAGTGTGGCCTGGTAGAGCACAATTAAAATACTCTCATATTCATGGCTAAAAATAGCACACATAAGGTTTCATAGTACAAATGATGCTCTTCCTAATGTGTGGCTTTAGCTGGCAGAGCAGCAGGCGTTTGAGCGCAGCAGACGGTTTCTACGCCAGCTGGAGTGTACTTTTGGAGATCAGTCAGATCTCTACAGAAAGGTGGTGCATATTCTACAAGGGGGTGCTTCACAGGATCTTCCTGACTTCAGAGAGGTATTCAAAATCGGCACAAGCAGACAAGCAGTGCTTCCTTATTCTGGCATTCGATCATCTCTTCTCTTCTTTTTTTTCAGATGAAAGCTCAACTAACATTGCTGTTCAGTGATCATACCGATTTGCTGGAGGCATTCTGGGAATTTTTTAAGCAGCTATACCCACAAGTGCAAGATGAGGATCATGCAGACAGTGTGGAAACCATTCAGGGCTTGGAAGGAAACCATGCATGTCAACCAATCAGAACTGTCGTACCAGATAAAAAAATGGAGCCAGTCAAAACAGCCATTAAACATAGAAGAAAAAGAGATAAACATGTTCAGGTATCACATGAAGAGAACTCCTCTCATTGTTGACTTTTCTTATATAGTTGGTGTCTATAAAGATCTCAAGCCATCTGAATTGTATGCATACCACATAATCATAATGTAATTTGTTTGTTTTATCCTCTTTTCTCTTAGATGGCAGAAACAAAAAAGATCAAGGCCAAGAAACACAGTGTGGCAACAGAGTCAAAAAAGAAGGCAGCTGAATCTTCCTCAGTGGACAGTGAACAGTCTTCATTTAACTCTACAGGAAGCTCAGTCTGTGCCAAGAATATCTCTCGCACACCAAATGGGAAAAAAGTAGTCCTCTGGACGAGGTTAGAAATGTTGTGCAACATTTATTTCTGACTTTACGCAAAATTTCCAGTTTTTGACTGTAAATCATGCAATTTCAGAAATATGTATATATTTTTGCTGTTATCAGGGTTGTGTGCAATTCAGAATTGAATCGGAAAGACCCTTTAAACTTAAGTTCAACTCCTGAAAAAAAAAGCAGAATTAAAATTAAAAATGGAAAATTTAATGAAATGTAAGGAAATGTAAGTGCTAAAAGATCATCACATATGGTCTCACTTTAAGCCAGATGCTATATAGAGAGAGAAATGTCTAATCAGGGTGTTCTGTTTGTATTATGTGTTTTTTAAAGAAATTAATACTTTTATTCAGCAAGGTTGCAATAAATTGATCAAAAGTGACAGTAACTACATGTATAATGTAATAGAAGATTTCAAATAAAACATTTCTTTAGAATTTTCTAAACATCTAAGAATCCTGAAAAAAATCTGTCACTGTTTCCACAGAAATATTACGTGATTTTAACAGATAATAGTCAGAAATGTTTCTTGAACCGCAAATCAGTATATTAGACTGGTTTCTGAAGGATCATGTGACACTGAAGACTGGAGTAATGGTGCTGAAAATTCAGCTTTGATCACAGGAACAAATTATATTTTTAAATATTTTCAATTAGAAAATTGTTATTTTAAGTTGCAATAATATTTCACAATTTTACTATTTGTACTGTATAATGTTTTGATCAAATAAATCCACCCTTGGTGAGCATAAAAGACTTCTTTCAAAAACATTTTAAATTTTAAAAAATCTTACCAATCCCAGACTGAACGGTAGTCAAAATTAGTCCAAATTTGTTATATTTTGTCGCTTATGGTGAATAATTAAAATCTGTGACTGTTTCTTTTAGTTACAGACCAGTAGTTTCTTTATCTGTTTTTCCATCTAAAATTTTAATTCAAAATCCTGTGGATTATAGCCAGTTTTATTCAAACTCACAATAATTAATTGAAAGGAAACCAAAGCTTAATTTCAGAATTTTACTCGACCCTGTTTATTGTGTAGCTATGTACCTCTACTGAAGTTTGAGCACACATTTAAATGTATATTCATGGTATGAAATGAATGTTTCTGTGTTTTGTTTGTGTGATAAAAAGGGAGGCAGACCGTGTAATACTGACCACCTGTCAGCGGAGAGGAGCCAAGCCGGCCACGTTTCATGCCATTGCAGCCCAGCTTGGCAACAAAACAGCCAACGAGGTTTGCTTTCTTTAACATTCAGAGGCTTTTCCTCTCAAAGATCATGACCAGGTCGTATCTCACATTAGAAAGTCAAATGTACTTGAAATCATAACATTCCTTAAAATGGACTCGATGCAAAATATCATTTCTTTTTATTTTGGGGCAAAATATGTCCTAGACAGGCTTTCTGAGATTCACTTCTTGATCTTAAACATTTTCCTCAGCGGTGTGCAGTAAACCTTTCATGAAGTCCAGTGTATACTGCAGTCAGGTCGACCGTTATAAATCACATAGGTGGAAGACAACCAATGTTTCCTTTTTCTCCTTAGGTTTTGGAGCGCTTTCAAGACCTCATTAAGTTGTTCCACAAATCCAGCAAGTTACATCACACAAGCCAGTCGGACACAGAGATCCAGTCCGGCACGATAGAAGATGAACCGGACTGACATTAAAAATCTGCTGAACAATAAGACTTGAAGGATGCGTGCAGGCTGGACCTGACGCCTGAATTGAAGCAGAAACAATGTAACACTTTAAATCTGTGCTCCTGAAGTACTTGAACAAAAGAAACACCGTGTGATATTAAGAAATTTGGGTAAAAAACATATTTATGATTCTTGATTTTGAAGGCATGCACAAGCTTAAAACAGTAGTAAGACATTAATTGTGGAGTTAGTGTTACATTTTTCTAGGGGATGTAAAAATATTTTTTTCTGCCTAAATCAACAAAGGCATTAATAGTTTCAGAAATTACAGTGAATTGTCTTAATTGTTATTAATATGGTTTCATAATAATTATATGAAGGTTGCGCATATCTTTACATTTTAAGGAATATATCGAATAAATTATTTAATTGTTTATTAGCAAGAATACGTCGAGTATTATTTTATTTTCTGACTGTAATAGTGCAACAACCCAATCTCCCAGGAGGAACTTTGATTGACAGAGAAATCCACCAATGAGCGTTTTACACCTCATCAGCTGTAGAATTACTAGCCAATCAGCGCTCACTTCAGTGACGCATTGTGTTTTCATCCCGCCCCTCACACGAGCACACACATATCGGTGGAAACCGCCCGGTTATGCGCCTTTGTTCACTTTAGCGTTGGTTTCTGCAAATAGGAAATTATTCCATCTTCCTGCCTTGATGGACAGTTTTATGTTGCGCGGGGTTTTGTGTGTGTCAGCTCTCTGTGTGTGGAGCTCGGCAGCGCGTGGACGCAGTGATGTGCTCGAGCTCAAAGACGCAGACTTCGACTACATCGCACCCGAGCACGAGACCCTGCTGGGGAAGTTTTATGCCCCATGGTAAGAGAATAATCATTCATTTACACATGTAGATATGCAGTTACGAACATTTCGTTGTAAAATAATAAAGAGAAGGTCTGCGTGCGTTTGCGACTCGCAGTTCAGAGCTGCTGTGTGTGATGGCGCGCGCTGTCCATGGTACCTCAATACAGCTGACCGCGCGATCAAACTCGCTTTTTATGACCACCTTTCTTCATCTTGATAACACATCGTAAGGTTTTAAGAAACCTGAGACCTGGAATAAGTAACACCATCATTGTATGCATTGTTATATCACCGCAAGCTAAGCGTAATTCACCATTGCCGTCATGTTTTCCAGCCTTGCCGAGGTTTTGATAGTTTTGCTGCTCTGTATTTTCTCAGGTGTGGTCACTGTAAGAAACTTGCTCCGGAGTTTGAAACTGCTGCTACTCGACTGAAGGGAACAGTAACTTTAGCCAAGGTATAATTGCATGTTAGGAATATTTTGGGTTCGATACAGTTGAGGCTTTATTGACATGCTGCCGATAACTACATACAGTACTGTCAAATTTGTGAAAGCACAAATTATTTACAGTAATGCTCTTACAATGGAAGTCAATGGGGCAAGGCATTGCACTAGGATACATATTATATTGCCCCAGGATAGATATACGTATTCACTATTTTGTAGGCATTAAGTATAGTCACAGATATTGTGAGATTGCACAAATAAGGTTAGAACAAATTTATGACAAAGCTATTTGAATCTTTCAATGTCTGTTGTGAATCATGACCACATAAAGTGGCTATTACATGACATGTGCAAGGATACCAGAAAAAGCCAAAGCTAATCACACATAAGTTCATCCTTCTGATGTAGACAACAGCTCAATTAACACCTTAAATAGTGAAGAACAAATTGAAATACTTTTAACAAAAATGCAAGCTTCACATTCCTGCTTTTAACCCCTCTATCAGTGCTATTTAAGGATTATTGAGATACTATTATAGTTTTTATTCATATATTTTTATTTCCCCATTCTCTTTTTAATTTTAAAGTTGTAGTCATTTTTGTGTTTTTTTTTTAATTTTAGTTTTAGTCGTTTTATTACATTAAATTAAACTACAAATAAAAATGAGAAACATAAAATTGCCTTGGCAACTAGCTTGAGATAAAATGTTAAAGGGGTCATATGATGCGATTTCAAGTTTTCCTTTCTCTTTGGAGTGTTACAAGCTGATTGTGCATAGATAAGATCCCTGAAGTTGCAAAGACTAAAGTCTCAAAACCAAAGAGATATTCTTTATCAAAGTTAAGACTCTGCCACGCCCCCCTAAAACGGCTCGTTCTAACACGCCCCCACATATCTACCTCACTATGTGGAAATATTTGCATAATGCCGCCCAAATGTGCACGCAAAGAAAGAAGGCGTGGTTTCAGTAACCGCAGTTAGTGTTGAAGCAGCATGTCAGGGAGACGCTGTGTGTTTCTAGGCGAAAGCAAAAGCACTTTATTTGGCCTTCCGAAAGTAGATGCATTTAGGAATCTTTAAGATTACTTACAACAGAACAGCAATGCATTTTATGGACGACCGTTTCGTGAACCTAGAGGAGGTAATTCTGACTTTACTATGACAATCTGGCGCTTCTGAATCAACTACTGTTTTGTTATTAGTTTAAGTATTTGCTACTGACTGTTCAAATGCGGAGTT